ATATATATATAAACATATTGTGGTTTATAATTAAGTTCTTAATAGTGATCCTATCCTGCATCATAATATATATATATATATATATATATATATATATATATATATATATATATATATATATATATATATATATATATATATATAATTAGTAAGTAATGTTTATGTTTTTGGGTAAGTTGTCAGCTTATATGAACTAATAGCTAGTGTGGCTTGTATATGGGGTACATCCGGTGTCTTACCCTCGACGGTACCCTCCTTACCCTTATCCGCGGCGGTACCTTTATGGTCAGGAAGCCACGGATATTTACAATGGGGCTCGGTCAGTCAATATGATTCCTTTGACATCACTAAACTAACTCTTATGTATTCTGTTCTCGTATTGACAATTTGAATGACATCAAGAATATTTTGAATATCTTCTGATATAGATGGTGCTGTAGTTGATTGTTGTTCATGACAAGTCCAATGGGTCATTAGCATCGCTCAGATTAGTGGGAAGAAATTCTTGCTGCAACAATGTGTGTTCTCAGAGCTAACTAGGGTAACTAAAATACTTATTTCCTAAATAAATACTTTAATTGTAAATATTTGAAAATATATGGTATGTATCAGAATTTCTGACGATATAAAACATATTGTGGTTTATAATTAAGTTCTTAATAGTGATCCTATCCTGCATCATAATTTACATAATATCTACTTCTGTTTTGTGTATTAAAATGACTACTTTTTATATTAATTTCTTTCTGTAAATGATGATGATGATGATAAAGTTCAGTAAATGTAAGTAAGAACATAAGAATGAAGGTAACTGCAAAAGACTTATTGGCCCATACGAGGCAGCTCCTCGTATGGAGCTGCCTTTGATAAGTAATTACCAAAGAAGGCACCAAGCCGGGAAGGCTGTGTAGCACAATCAAATAAGTCAACTGCTCCTGAAGAGGACGGTATTACTTACAGTTTACTGAGATTAGTCTCACAAGTACCAGGTAATCCACTTTTAGTGTTGTACAGAATGAGTTTAAGTGAAGGAGTATTACCTGATGATTGGACAGTGTCATTGTTCCCATCCCCAAAGCACACTCAGATAATTATAGACCCATATCTCTAACATAATTTTGTCTATTAGCACAGTTTTCGGCGTGAATGCATTTTGGTTCTACAAGGTAGCCAACTCCATCAAAATATTAAATATGTACCCAACTCAATTAACGATTAATCAACCAATTACTCCATGGGATAACTTGGATCTAGCAGTTGATTTTGTAAATGCACCCAAGAAAGATAATGTACACTCTACATTATTAAAACAGTTAACACTGTGAAGCATCACTGAAAGTACTCAGAATATGGGTAACGATGTGTATCAGTGGTATACCGACGGTTCTGTAGAAGAAGGTGGACGATGTACCGGATGTGCATGTAATATATTTGAACAATCTTCTCTCTTACATACATGAATGAAGCGCTATGCTAAACTGTGTAATTACTATTTGAGTACTGGAACACTTGATGATATATTGAACTTGTACCCTAGATTGACGATGTAACGTATCAATTATACAATGAATGTATGTGATGTAACTCTATAACCTGAGCTTGTGAAAGCACCTTAATCACCTTCAGTGATTAAGTGCTTAATTGCACACTAGTTTCTCTATCAGTTATCTCACCTTGTCAGAGTAAAAGAGACAAATATATGTGTATGTATGTGTTCAGAATTCAATTTCACCTTTGTAAATGCACGTTAATGACACTATGTAAAAGACACATCGAACACTTTATGTAGGGCATACGTAAATCTGTGTATTTATGTATTTACGTATGTAGCTTAGCCTAGCATTTTAAAAACACTACAATCACCTTATGTGGTTGATTGTTCAATAAATCCCTGAACTATATGTTTAACAAATCTCTAACCCTATCAATGGAGTTAGTTTAGTTCTTATATTATGCACCCTATACCCATCTTGTGGGCGGTAGTGGAAAGGGTTAGAGTCCATGGCGGACTGAAGAAAATGTATATATGATGGTTAGCATTGTTAATGTGTGGCCACGTCTGTGGTAGAAAATAATACAAAAAAATCAAATAAAGGTATTATTGAAACTTTATACGAAAACATTAAATCCTAAATATATCTTTAATATTATACTTGAAATATGGTATACTTTGCTCTCTCCATCGTACTTCTGCACCTGCTGGCAAGTGGTTCGGTGCAGTGTGCAGGTGATGTTCATTACTGGGTGAGCTGGCAAGTGGTGCTCACCTGCCAGCTCACCCAACGAAAATTTGGTTTTTAATACACTTACACATTTATTGGGTCTTTCCTTCACCTTCATTCAAGCACTAGGGTATTACAGTAAGTGTTTTAATTATAATATTTATTAACGTTATTATTTTTAATTTTTATTATTATTAGTATTATTATTAACAGGAGAGGATCGAGTGTGTGTGTGTGTGGGGGGGGGGGGGGGGAAATGGTACACATGTCCACATCCCAATGCCCGCCCTTCCAGGACTGGGGGTGCGGGGGTGTACAATAAACTATACCCACATCCGGCGGCAGCTTGTCGAAGGCGGAAGTGTAGCCTAGAGAATTTGTCATGATAATTAGTGATGACTCTTATTTTGATTATGGGTCTGTAATCCAGTTAAGCTTTTATTCTTAATTTATATTACAATGCTGGTAAAATACACTTCTTGATGATGAGTATGGAGTACAAATGAACTCATTGTGTACCCAAGTTCAAGTTCAAGTATGTTTATTGAGATAAGCAATAAATAAATCTCAAAGGGATAGAGTAGCTTAGGCTATTTCAACCCCCCTCTAATTCAAGTCCCTCAAGGGGCGCACAAATACTGTGACTACAAATAGACAAATAACATTACAAGAATCCAAACAAGAATTGTGAACCCTATACTCACAGGATGAATATAGGGTACACAATAAACTACCACTCACATCATGGGTATGGGTTGCACAAGAAACTATCGCGCAGAGGATGAATATGGAGAGCAAAGTAAACAAAGATTCACACGATGAGAAAGGGTTTCGCAATGTCCTATGACTCACAGAATGAGTATTAGCTGCACAATAAACTACAGGTCACAGGATAAGTATGGGTTGCACAATAAATTACAGGTCACAGGATGGGTATGGGCTGCACAAACTACCGGTAACAGGATGAGTATGGGATGCACAATAAATTACGGGTCACAGGATGAGTATGGGTTGCACAAACTACTGGTAACAAGATGAGTATGGGATGCACAATAAATTACCGCACAGAGGATGAGTATAGGGTGCACAAACTGGTTGGGTAAATGGAAATGGTTGGGTACATTTCCTTTCACCTAATGCGACTATTCATGTGTCCGGACACCGGCGATTGTGTGGTATTGGCTATTTATTTAACCATAACTTTGCATTCATTTAATAATTATATTAAGATATGTTTTCCTTGAAATGTAGTTACATTATCGTCTACATGGCTTTATTCTGACATAAAGACCTATGGCGTTACTTTGCATATATGCAAAGTAATTATAAAATTGATTGGCTTGTGTGGAGGCCTTCACACTCCCTGAGCGAGCCATCAAGTAACTATAAAAAGGCATATATCTTAACTTTCAATTCAGTTATATTTATGCCAAAGTATTAACATGCAGCTTATATTTATGTCTTTATGATGACATAGAAAACTTCGTTTATTACAATATCTAGATTAAATTAACATTGATCTTCGGAAGGTCATAGTTCCCATATCGGTAAGGAGAGCGTCGGCCATGAAGCCTTGTTTAAAGTATGAATATTTTTCCTCTCTAATAAGGTATAATCTCTGTGATGGATTCACAAAAACTATTTTATATCTGCCTTTCTGATAACATATACAAATATAATCTTTATTTGTGAATATTTGTTAATTAAGCAATATATCAGAGGGCGTGTAGGGTTCGGTGTTCAATGAACGAAAAGGACTGGATCACTGTGTACAGGAGGCTGATATGGCAGCAAACACTCTCCTGGCGACCATATTTCTTGGATAAGTCGCTCCACACAATTGTCGCTTGGACCGTCGACTTCCTATGGCGTCACCTCTCACATATTTACGTCTCATTTCGTTATGAAATTAGATTATTTCAGAGAAAAAATAGGTTTGATCATGTTCTACGTGTAGCACCAACATTATAGTAAGTAAATATACCATATTTCTTCATTACTTACGTAATGCTAATACGTTTTGGGTAGTTTTGGCCTGATTTGGGATGATTGGGGTAATTCTATGGACCCGTGATTAAGGGTATGAGGAAGCAGGAATTCATACAGTTGAGGAAGCTAACAGCAGTAGGGTGTTCAGGCTCGCAGAGGTCAATATTAAAGTCCCCTGAATCGAAATCGAATTAAATATAGGACAAGATACCCTTCGGGTGAGCTTTGAAGTGGGTATAGGTGAAGAATAGCTTGGGTGAGAGGAAGCGTCGGAGTTGTAGAGATAGAGCCAGGGCTAGACCCAGCTGCGCGGCTGAATATGAGGCTACTTGAACACCTGGTCGGCTTAAGCTTGGCGGGCAGGGTCCCGAGGGAGGGGCGGCGGTGTGAGGTCTTCTTTCCTCATGATGTGTGTCGAGTCTTCTTTCTTCTTAGGAGTTGAAGTCTTCTTTCTTCTTTGAAGCTGAAGTCTTCTTTCTTCTTTGAAGCTGGAGTCTTCCGTTTTCTGTCCTGCACGTTGGTCTGCTCCGAAGCTTGCAGGGGGTTCCACCACCTCAAAACGAGTCCCCTGCGATAATTAGGTGGTTTTTGTTCAGTCTGTTATCAAGTATTAGATTTCTAAGGTTTGAGTTGAATTCGGACACATCAGTGTTAGGAATTCTATAGTGATGCATCATACGTTGTAAGCGTTTAGTTTTTCGTAATAGAGTGGAAAATATCTTGTTATGCATATACAAATTATAAATTCACTCATTGGCAACAGTCTTGTGTGAGAGGGAGGGAGGATAAGCAGATTTGCTGACTCTAGTCACCCCCTTTGTGTCCGTGCAGGTGGACGTGTCTCTGACGCGCTCTCACAGATCGTATTTTTACTGCATCTACTGCACAATGGTTAGAGTATCGAACAAGAAGAAAGCTCTAAAAGCAAGAGCTGTACACGCTAGCCAAGTAAAGAAGGAGCGTAAAGCCGCACTGAGGGAAAATAGAGTTATCTTGAGTGAAGATAGAGGAGGGCTCTCTGCGAGGAGTGTGTCCCAGCCTCGAGCTCCACAACACACACTACCTCGCCTCACTCCCTCACACTCCCAGGGAGCCACACCTGCGGCACCTGCGGCACCTGCCACTCAAGATCTTAGACCTGCAACTCCAGACGTTCTCCCTCTTGATGTTGCAGGACCCAGCACCTCACGTGATATTGTGGAAACTCCCAACATTTCCACAAAGCGTAAAGGTACCCAGAGCAGTGCCACAAAACGAATTAGGTTATATAAACAACAACAAATTGACAATGACGGTGCCAATGAAAGTGACAGTGAAAGTGACGTGAAATGCAGAATAAATCCACGTGAGTCAACGATAATGTGGACAGATAGGAGGGTTGAACAGTACCTAGATAAACATTGTGTATGCAAGTATTGCTCAATGGATAATCTACGTCATACAGTTACGCCTATGCAACATGATGTGAAACTGGAAAAAACCTGTAATAATTGTAATGTTTCAAATACTGAATATTTGATGGGAAATCATGAAAATTTAACATCCTTAGTGTACAGCAACATGATAAATGGGCACGGATATTTATATTACACTAGCATGTGTGCTGTAAATAACATGAAATTTGTGTCACATAATACATATGACAAGATCCAGAAGAAAATAAGAGATGCTGCTAATGAAAGATGGGTTCATTTGCGAGAAAGTACTCGTCATAACATATTCAATCATTACAAAGAACAGTTCAATAGGCACCCCAGTGGTGGTGTCCTGGACATTGATGTGTCCTTTGATGGATCTTGGCATACAAGGGGCCATCATTCACAAATTGGCATTGCTTTTGTTGTGGAAATATTCACAGGGCTGGTTGTGGATTTCAATACTTTCTGCAAAAACTGCCACAAGTGCCAAATAACCAAGCATAGAAAACAACAGGGAAAAATAACACAGGCCGAGTTTGACGATGAAATGGCTAAACATTTACCATATTGTGACAAGAACTACGATGGCACTGCCAAAAATATGGAAGCGGATGCCGCGGTACTGATGTGGGCTCGATCTCAAGACATCAAATTCAGGTATACGACCGTGGTCAGTGATGGTGATTCTTCGGCCTTCAATAAAGTGTGTGCAATGAACAATGGTGATGGACCATATGGAGATATAAAAGTGGAAAAGGCTGAGTGCATAAATCACTTCAGCAAGAGACTTGCAACACAGCTTCGCAACTTTCAGGAAACAGCTGTGGAAATAGAGGAGACAAAAGGGCCAATCAAAAACACCAGACGAATGTCACTGGTCAAAAAAGGGAAGGGAAAATTAACTGACGGCACCATTCTGAAGTTGGCAGGTTACTTCACAAAAGCCATCAGGGATAACGGCAACTCTGACTGGAAACAAATGAGGGATGCCTGCCTATCTGGACTGTTCCATGCAACGTCCACTGACGAAAAACCACAGCACATGCACTGCCCTAAAGGAAAAGACTCTTGGTGTTTCTACCAGCAAGACATTGCAAATGGAAAGACCACACGATCACACAAGATAATGAAAGTACATTTCCAGCTACCCAGTAGTCACATGACTGAAGTCATGAAGATATACTACAATCTTGTATCAGAGGACAACATGACCAAGTGTCTGAAGGGGAAGACTCAAAATCCAAACGAGTCTCTACACCACAGAGTTTGGCAACTCGCCTGCAAAGACAAATATGTTAGTCGTGTAATGGTAGACTTCGCCATGGCAGTGACATCCGTCAACTACAATGCTGGCTATATACTGGGATGTCTGACCAACCTCCTTGGTCTACCACAGAGTGACATGCGTGACTGGTACTTCAGTATGAAGGAAAAGAACATGCAGAGACAAACCAGATGCACCACCAAGCCAAGAAAGGCCCCTGAAGAAGCTGACCCTGGCTATGGGGCAGGTGCCTACTAGTACCAATGAAGTGCCACCTTGAGGACCCATATTTCAGACCAATTATATTAGGTTAGTATGTTTTATTTTTTATATTTTGATATTACATCATAAATAATTGTAAATATAAAGCTGCTGGCCTTTTTTTTTATTTTATTTTTTTTAATATTTTTTTTTTTTAATTAATAAAAAATTTTTTATCAGGCGATCTTCATGGAACTTCACACCTTACTGAAGGAATGCCAATCTACAAGGGTGGTAATTTTGATTGAAATTGGTCGTTCATCAACATCAGCCACAGGTGGCTGAACTTTGACCTTGATTTTCTACAGGTAAGTAATTTGCAACTATAGGGTAATATAACTTTTTTATTTATTATTCAATTTACATGAAACTTGCACATTATATGTAGAGTCTATGCCTCTAAAAACTCAAGTATTATTTTTTTCCTAAGATCATTTATTGATTTTATAAATATTTATAAACATCATTTTGTTGCATAATTTTTTGTGTGAGCTTTGAAAATTTGTATTATTGCACTAAATACATTTGGGATAGTAATGTTACAAGACAACCTTTATTATATAGTAATGTGATAGCCGAGTATCATAGAAATGATTTCGGTTGATATTTGTATTTCTTATATCAACTTTAAAACATGTTAAAAAAATGGTTAAATTTTTTTTTCTCCCTCTATTTAGGCTGCGATGCTGAAACTTGGACCAGTTGCAGCCCTCTTTAAATGTAACATGTCAATAAATTTTCATTGCACTAGAACAACTTTTATGAAACCTAACTAATGCCCCCTGCAGAGGGCCTATTGGCCCATACTTCCTCTTGATGCTTATATATTGGTTTGGAGTCTTGAAGTGGGTAGAATATAGTTGTGCATTAATTGGCTGTTGATTGCTGGTGTTGACTTTTTGATGTGTAGTGCCTCGCAGATGTCGAGCCTCCTGCTATCGCTGTATCTACCGATGATTTGTGTGTTGTTTGTTAAGATCTCTCTGGTGATGGTCTGGTTGTGAGGAGATTATATGTTCCTTTATGGAGCCCTGTTGTTTATGCATTGTTAATGATGCAATACAGACAACTGCAGGGTCACAGAGAACAAAGCAATGAAATACACAAACTACTCTACATGTGATTCAAACCCAAATGATTCACTCGAAACTAACTCAAATCCTCTAGTGCGAGTAGCTGCCAACAGGTGGCGCTCTAGGCTCCCATACCAGTAGTGTCACTGATGTATGAGCGTTCAGACCTTCCTGAGTTGCCAGCTCGTACCAAGTCCTACGTCTTTTTCCATAATAAGTGTAGGCCATCCTTTGAACTCTATTCTGTGGGGGCCATTTACTTGTATCATTCCTAACCTTTAATATTTGCTTCATGTGCATGTTTACAAGCCTTGCTTGGTATGCAAACTTGGTTTCATATTTGCTACAAGCTGCATGTATTTAGAGCTGTCCTTCCTTGAGTGCATGTTTAGCATTGCCTTGCACTGACTGACTTCGCTGGTAGGTTTGCGAGTCAAAGATTATAGGGATGACAGGACACGAGTGTTGCACTTGGATAATTACACACTCAAGTTCTGTACTCAACTTTATTCTTCAGGCACAAAATCCATTAAGAATAAGAGAGCAAACTGTACATACAATTCAGTATTAGCATTAACAATATTAAACAGAGGCCAAATACTTGGGTGTCATCAACGAGGGCCAAGACAGTTGTATTTTTTACATCAAGAACACTAACCATTTTCAGCAACACTATTTTAACCATTTTCAGGTTATTTTCTTACCAAGCAAGATTTACCACATCTAGATACCTGCAATTAACACACCACACACAACTTTGTATATATATATATATATATATTTGACTAAAGTTTCCTAAACACTTCTTTGTGTACTACATTTTTGTGATGGCCAAAGTGTGACTAAATTATGCTTGACGAGTACAAAAAAAAAAAATACTGTATTGCTTGCTGCATTTACTCTTGATAAATGTACACCTATGCTTCCCTTTCAAATTTTGTTCACTTGTACCTTCAGCACTGGAGAAGACAAATACTAATTGGAGCCTTTTAATACTATACTGTTCATATAGTACAGTAATAATGTTTAACACCACCATGGAACATGAGCTAAAATTTGCATTTTTTAAACTATTTTAAAATACCGGGTATTTAAATATTACCTGATCTATAGACTTACATTGCAAAATTCTAATATACAGTAATAGGTTTGAAACAAAGTTCCTAATTTAAATATACAGTATCCTTATCATCACTTGATAAGCCATAAACTTAGAATAAGCACAGTACACTGGACTAAAATGTAAAGTTATTATTATTCATAAAAACAAGATCTCGACCAACTTCGTCCGTGCATTTGATAATTACTTAATCATTGTGCTGAATTAAACTAGCATTTAGGGATGCCGCAAAGAGTCCTTGCATCAAAGTGAAATAATATTTAGCTTTTTTTTTATATTTTAGGTATACTACAGTATATACAGTAATCTTAATTTATATTTATATATTCTGTTAATTATTAGAAGAAAATAATGAAATTCAAGTGTTCATTTAATTATGTACCTTCTTAAATGCATTTATTTTAAAACGTTGCTGAAGAACAAAATAATTTACAAACTTTAATATGATGGTAGTATAAATGGAATGCAAACAACTGGTTATCTCTTGCAAATTACCATGTCAAGCAATGTGACATTCAAAGTACTCGTGAAAAAATCAACAATCAAACAATTTATATAACAGGTTGACAGTACCAGAGTCTAAATATAATGAATACTATTGATATTATAGTAGAATAAAAAAAAAAAAAAAAAAAAAAAAAATTACCCTATTTATAAAACCCTTCAAATGGTTCACTCTCATAGTTCCAATATAAAAACTAGCTTTAACAGCCAAAATATAATCTTTGTAATGCTTGATATAATAATTCTTTAGTTCTGTCAGTAGTGTTAAAATAATGTGTTCCATACACATCATTTCAGCTCGAACATGTTAAGCTGATGTATAATTTTTTTAAACACATAACATTAGACAAATTACAAATACAGTACTGTAAATCAATATGTTAATACTGTACAGTATATGCAACTCTTGTCTTTTAAAACCTTCAAATTATGTGTGTCTTCTCGAGTCTGGGCATACAATATTCTAATTCTTACTCTATGAACCTTGTGGAAAATGTAAATTAAAAACTTTACTAACTAGTTGTGTAAATAAGCACAGCATAAAATAATTGAAGCATCTCTTCAGTCTACCTTACTAGATCATAAGAGATTTTGAGCTGTAAAGCACATAATCCATATTGTTCATTATTTACACTGATATAATTCCTATATAACAATGGAAGCCAGTTGTGATTTAAGGCCATAGAATTGAATGATTTAAATACCTTATTAGCATTATTTTCATAACCAGTATAAAAGTTGTGTTCCAGATTGTAGAACTATCATTAAGATGATTTGTGCATTTCAGTTAATTAAATTTAGAGAAAAGGGCTGTATCTTTTATTTAAATTTCAAAATGAAAATTAAAGTTTAGGCGAAAGACAAGTGAACACAGAAAGAGAACGAAAGTCTATGGTTAGATGTTTGGGCGAGATTTGGCCTAAGCTTCCCCTCGTACATGGAGAAAAGCAACACAATGATAGTGTACTGTTGAACTATTTTATATATACTGTAAAGTACCGATGAATCTCTCAAATCTGCATTGTTCTAGTTCATGATAATATTGATACCAATTACTCCATTTTACAAATCTAGAATAAAATATGCAAGCTGTCTTGCCCCAAATGGAGGAGGAGGATTCTTCAGTTACATTGAAAGTGGGTCTTTACCCAACTTTTGATGATGAGCTTTTTCATAACAGATCAATTGAGTAATAGAGTACATACACAAAAAAATGGACTTTTCACATCAAATGGTCCACAATTTGGCCAATTGGCAAAATAAAAAATGTCGAGCTTCTGAAAAGGCAACAAAAACCTAACCTAATGCTTAAAACCTACATTATATATACATCAGTCCTAGGTTAGGCGAGATGTGCAAATATCCAGGTTTTGTAAATGTACCCTATTCTCGTCACGCAATAATGGAGGAGGGATTGGTTAATACAGGTGCACACTACTCTGTTAAGGATAAATTTCTTCGTGAGCATAGAGTTTTTTATATAAAATTTAATTTGTAAATATACAAAATGTAACATACATCATTGAAGTCTAAATGTTGCCAAACACTATTTTTGTTTTATACTATATAAGTACTGTACTGAAATATTTGTATGGTATAAATATACCAGTAATTTGTATGAATTCCTATGCATAATTAGTTAATTTACAGTATTTGCCAAGTAATCAATATTTTGTTCTTAAATTTTATATTTATACATAAGCAGCTGCCACTTGCATTAACACTGGCTGCTACACCATTTTTTCAGTCAAATGCAGCCTATGTATTTTGTTTAGGTTTTTATATTTTTAATATGGAAAGAAGTGCTCTTCCACATGTTCAAATGATTTTTCATTGCAATTTACTGTGCATATTCATTGTACTGTATAACACACACTATGGAATTATTTTTTTTAAAAGGCCTTATGTTCCAAATATAACAAATACTGTACAGCAATTAACCAAATGTACCGAGGAACTTTATCTACGGTATATAAAATAGAATGCCTGTCCAAAGTAGGAGTCCAGTTACTTTGGGTTAGCCACACCTAATTTTTCAGGAGGACATGGGGGTATGTAAGTGTCACAGGCTAGTCTGGGTTGGCCCCAGTGGCACAATTTTAAACATTGGCATCTGTAGCAGCCTCCTGCAGTTTTCCACGAGGTCTGAAATTTGGGGCATTTTCCATAGCGTTTTTACCATTTTTCTCGAGTGCTTTGTAATATTACATTGTCAGAGTGAGAGAGCGAGTTGGTTGGATGTACAAAGAGAGAGAGAGAGAGAGGGAGAGAGGAGGGTGTACACACACTTGGGCATGCCATCTAGTGTACTATATATTACTTAGTATTGCACAACCAAAAATAAATGAAGGCATTGTTCAGTGTGAGGGCGCCAAGAGCTATTAGCTGTCAGGTCTCCGACAGCGAGAGGAGGCAGACACTGGGAGGGATGTGTAAAGCCCTGTGGTCAAAACACCAGGTACGATGTGTGAGCTGAAGAGACAGGGTCTAATTCACTGGATGGTTAAAGGGACACTGAACAAGACTACGAGGGAGTGTCTACGAGTTCAGGTGTGTGAGGGAAGAAGCAGTGTCGGCCTTCAGTGTCAGGAGGAGAACCTGCCATAGGGGAACAAACACAGACGATGCAAGGTGCGAGTTGCTTCGAGATTCTGGACGAACCGGACCTATTCAATGAGGGACTGACCAGAGGACCCCAGCTACCATCGCGAGGGATCTACGACTTTGTAGCAGAGAAGTTATGATAGATAAATTTTCCTTCCCCTTTTCTCTTGAACTAGGGAATGTAGTTTACCAGTATTATTATTACTGATCTAAGGATAGGCTATTACCAGGATTATTATAATTATTGTGTATGTAGCAACAGTGATATTAGTGCATATTATTCCTGAATGAACTACCAGTGATTATGAAAGACTGTATTCAAGCAGTGAGAGGAATGGTGAACTGTTGTGAATACAGTAGCCCGTCCTCCAAACAAAGATCCAAAAGTGATTCCATGCACCCGCCAAACCCCTGTTTATGAATGAAAAGCGGCTTACACACGACTCAACTGCTGACATTCGAACATATCCGGAACATATGCTTCACTGACGAATTTTGTTTGAATCACAACGCTATAAATGCTTCACCCACGTACTACAAATACAAATAATCGCCAACAGAACCTAAACACCTAACCTAACCTATCCTATGCCTATATATACACAATATGCTAATATATTATAATATTAATTTATACTTGAGAAAATTCCTGTTTTGAATGAACATTTTGTTAAAATTTATAAATGCGTCTGTGGGGTTGACCGCTGAATGTAATGGACTTGAGTCGAGGACGGGTTGGAATACAGGTACCCAGCTAGCGACCTTACTTGCAGGCGAGTGGTAAGATTCACCTGTGTGTAATTTTATGTCTGGCAAGCTCGGCCGAAGCATTACAGGCTTCAAACTCTGCAACAAAGGGAAGGTCGAGCTTCTCCACAGATGCAAGGCCGGGTCATGGACAGTGACTCGCCCCATGGTAAAACTGGGGTGCGCCCAGGGTGGTCAATGGCACCCATGCATAGGGGAGCAAAGACCTGCGATGACAGTACTTATGGCATAAAAGAAGGATTGATGTGCGAGCGAAATATGCGAGATAAATTAACGCTGGGTACATAACGTCATAGGGTTCCCTGGCTTCTGGAGATACACGGCTGGTAGGCTCATTTGGCCCCGGGCATTCAGAGTGGTTTTGTTGCATGTTCCCCACTGGCACTTTGCCATCCGACATCGCAGTTAAGTTGGTAATTATTAAAAGGCACCAAACCGGGAAGGCTATGTAGCACCATCAAATGTTCAGAATAATCAGAGGGTGCTAAATATTACCAAGGATGCCAATACGAGAACAGAAACGCATAAGGCAAACGATATCAAAAGTATCCGATTCACCAAGAAATCTATCGAGGGACAAGTGACCGTAAGGGATGGTTGGAAAGCAAGGCATGCGCTCGTCCTGGAAGTCAGGGCATTCAACAAGGATATGCACAACTGTAAGAGGAACAATGCAATTTGGATAATGAGCTGGGCAGCACTCCATTAAGTGACCGTGAGTTAAGCGAGTATGGCCAAGACGCAACCTTGCTAGAGCCGTTTCCCCACCGCCGGTTACGGTGGCAGAAGGAAAGCCATGGGGACACAATGCTTAATAGTACGCAGTTTGTTACCAACAACAGAGGACCAACAACCCTGCCAATGGGCAAGGATGGAGGAATGAATAACCGGATGAAAGTCTGGATAAGGAATACCTTTACAGGAGATGGGACAAGAGCGGATAGCTTCACAAGCGGCAGCATCCACACTCTCATTTAAAGAAACATCAATATGGCTGGGAACCCAGCAAAACTACAGATTTAAATTTACTAGAGATAAGAAACAGCCAATGTTGAATCTTGACGACCACCGGATGGACAGGATTAAAGGACCCGAGAGCCATGAGGGCACTACAAGAGTCTACTACAATCAAAGGAGGCTTGACAACGAGAAAGCAGGAGACGGAGAGCATATAGCATAGCATAAAGTGTCGCTGTGAAGATGCTATTCTCTGAAGGGAGGCGACAAGTGCGGTCAGGAAAAACAGTAGCCTACACCGTCCACAGACTTGGACCCATCGGTGAAGATGGAAACTGAGCGGGAGTGTGAAGAAAAGTGCTCAAGGAAACGGCGTTTCAGAATTGTAGTCGACATGACGTTTCCAAGAGGAAAACAGAGATGGCACTCCATCACAGAAACATTGGCCTGGTTGTTCCAGTGTAAGGAAAGGACCTTGCAAGAAGAGGTCTTCAAGATTAGTAATCATTCTAAAATATTCATTAGAATACCCCTTCATGTTACAGCACGGCAGATCTTTAAATCTTCCAAAGATGACCAGACTGATGTGTGTGATAGTGTGTCATCACTGTTTCCTCCCTCAGAAATGCAATCAATACTTCATGTTGACTGGGCTACACCCAACAAATAATTACCTGAAGTTAGTGGTCTACTTCCTTTTAAAGCAATGATCTGAGCTTTTTTTTTTTTTTTTTTTTTTTTTTTTTTTTTTTTTTTAGTTCCTCAGTGGGTGCCATAATGTAATACCCCCATCACCACTATTAATTAACTACAATAATAGACACCAAGGTGCCAGAGTGGGATTCGCAACAACCTCGCACTCTGAATGCCAGGAGCTAAATGAGCCTACCAGCTGTGTGCCCCTGGTAAGCCAGGGATACCCCAATGATGTCATGCACCCAGCTCAAACTTCTGTTACACATTTCGCCCATACAACTATAATTTTTTATGCCATACGTATGCACCTCGAGCAGGGAGACCCATACTTTTGTAAAGTACTGTACTGTACACACTCAAAAAAACATTACCAAATAGCTTCCAGATCTAACACTAACAAGAGAGTTATAAGACATTAGAATATGCCAAAGGTAGCATAGAAGGAAAAATAAGATTTGATCAGTGCATACAAAACCATAACAAATTTACAAAATTGAAAAGGAGGAAATTTTAAAACCTGCAACTTCTAGAACAAGAAGCCACAGATTCAAGCTAAGAATAACAAATGTCAAAGTTTTCTTTTACAGCCAGATTTCTGGATGGTTGGAACAATTTAAGTGAGGTGATGGATGCTTAAACCATCAGCAGTTTTAAAGTACCGTATGACAAAGATTATTAGGGAGACAGTGACACTAAAGCGTAGCTCTCAACCTGTAACTACACCTGGATAGATAGACCCAAACATGTATCTCTCTTGCACAAAACATGTTACTGTACAATGTTCAGAATAATTATCTAAACAAAATTGTAGGAATAGTCCAATGAATAGTCCATTTTAGTCCAATGAAATGTGGTGTGGGTGAAGCACAATACAGCAAGTACCGACATGTTAGTAGGATGTTAGTGAAAGAAAAGGGGGTAAGTGGGACTAAGAAATTTAAGGAGTGAAAGGTTTGTGTAGTGATAAGAGCATCCTCTAGAAATGTTTGCTGTGGCCTTACCCCTACTGGTCAGTATAAAGATATCAGGGCTACAGAACAGTTTGTGGTTATATAATACAGTGCAATAGTTTAAAATCCAGAACCCCTGGGGCAAAGCATTTGCCAAAATTTTGGATGCTATTTGATAATAGATAATGTTGAACATAGACAATACTGTACCAATTAACCAGTATTATTAACCCACTACAATGTCATATCCAAAATCTGGATTATATAGTTTCAAACCTAATTCAGATTGAGAAATTTGCACTTTTTCTTCTTGTTATTGCCAAACTTTCTATATTTTTCACAATGCTCAAAACTAGAATGAATCATACAATTTTGTTTTAAACATTCTTAATGACTACCAAGGCACCAACTGTTTCTCCTAATATTGCCTTAAAAAATGTGATTGGAGTCATATTACAAGACTTGGCATTCACACCCAAATTTTCAGCCCCTTCCCTCCACCCTCCCCCATTTTACGAGTGAATTTCAAAGAACTAAATTTTAATTTTACTGTATCATATGACGGGCATCTGCCAGAACCTGTGTATAGATATTTCTCAGGAGCTATTTGGGAGGCGATATATATTTCCAATATTTAAAACCCTTAAAATTACAGTAGTTGTATACTTACCAAAAATACTGCCTTGTCTTTGCTTTCAGAATGTTATGTACACTTACAGTAAGATAATGAAGAAAAAATAAAACCAAACCATCTGAAGTAAAGTGGTATTTCTCACTACAGTGCTTAAAAATTGGCAGTCTTATTTTATTACAGATTTTCAATGTTGCTGGGTTTAAAATACAAGATTCCAGACTCCCCTGTACTGTACTTCAATGGCTAGCATGCCACTAGACAGCATAACTTAAGAAAAACTAGCACCTTTTCTCTTTGTAAATAACCTTGTAATTATAAGGAAGATACAGGTGTTAATTCTGCTTTGAAGTATTCAACTTTTAAATACTTTACCCAAACTTTAAGCCACAAGTTATTTAATACTAAGTGTGTGTAATTGCTAGTACATGATACTTTCATGAATAGAATATTACTAATAAATCAAACTACAGTGAATAAAAAAAACTTATTAAATGGTATTTTGATTCATTTCATTTGGCAAACAATTATCAAGACAACCCCAAGCCTGAAAGAGCATCACATTTTCTTAAAATATTAATATTTCCTAGATACTCAGGATGTCAATACGAGAGCAAAAAACTAGACAAATGATGTCGGAGGCATCCAATTCATAAAATCTCAAAGGGATGTTGTGAAAACAAGATTTTTGATCTTGAAAATGTGAACATACAAAGTAGCAAGTTAAGGGGACAGCATTTCTAATGGTACGGTGTAAGTCTTTGTTAAATTCAGTAATTAGTACAGTGTTTAAACACTTCAAACCATCCCATCAAGCAGAAGAAAAAGTTATTCTCTTCAGCTGAATACACAACACATTAATATTACAATCCATTGGCGTGTTTCCAACCGTAAACATTCTAGGCACCTCGGGGTCCCTGCTCAGCGACGCCTAAAATGTTTATACAGTACTCAACATTTTGCCAGTTTTGAGTTATTATTAAAAATGTGGCATCAAAATGTTCACAAATGAATTTGCTTCTGTACTAGTGTAAAATAAAATTTCATAGAATTCTGTGACTGCCAAATAAACAAATTAACATTTCTCATTAATTTTATTGACAAAAATAAAAAGTGGAAATGTGTGAACATAATCTGTTACTGTATAAAGAAAATTTCGTACTTTTCTGGCAGGTAATTTGCAATGCACAGTGAAAAATCTTACAAGCATAGTAATTATTGAGGTGTTTTCTGCACTTAATGCTCCCATGCCAGGGACTGAACTCTGACCAACACATCTGCAGTCAGTGATGTTACAATCATTACACCACAAGAGCACATCAGAAAATGAAAATGAACATACAGAATATTTCTTTATCAATCCTGCTCCTCAGGTTCCTTTGAGTCATGTCTATCAAACAATTGGCGAATCCCAATACCTTTAACATCGCTCATCGTGTGTATTTGCCCTTACTGGTACCCTGAATGGTAACTAGGAATATCTGAATGTGACAGATGGTGCTAAATAGTTTCCCAGGTTTGGTATCTTTTTGATAATTTTCAGACCTAATGTATTTGTCTTGCCCCACTCTTCAGGTGGGGTTGCTAAAACTGCACAGTATATACAAATTTTATATCAGTGAAATGTGCCTGGTATGTTTATCATAAAGTGAGCTGCATCCATTCTAGGTACACAATGTAATGGATGATGGTAAGATTTAAAACAAACTTGTGTTCATCACCAACCATTACCTCAGCTTTAGACCTTCCACTCGGCTGAAACAATAATCTTCCATATTTAAAATTCCAACAATGTATCATTTATTATATAAAAATTATAAGCCCAGTGGTGTTCATCAACGTTTTCTACGATTTAACAATTTTGAAAACAAAAAGTAAAATGATTAGTAAATATTTATTTCTTAATATAAATATTAAACTGTGGCATTCCTCAGAACCATTTGACCCCATTCAATATATTTTTAAACTCATTGTATAAGATCAACCAAGGCATGGATACATTAAACTATAATATATAGTACTACCATTAGATAAAGTACCCTAAAACTAATTTTTATAAAATCCACTACAAAATTAATTCCACTTAAGTGAAACTTCTGAAAGTTATCAGAACTTCAAATTTATGTACTGTAATTTAAAATTAGTCTCTTGAAGGCATTCAGTGACAAAAGGTCACAAAAAGATACTTATATTAGTTTGCAATGTATGAAGAATGTATTACTGTATTATGTATTACTGACCACTTTGCATTAAACTAAACCTTTTGTGCTACAAAGAAGGTAAATTATTTGGTTTGCGTTTAGACTTGGAATAAAGTTATCCATCGTAAAAATCCTTCTACTGAATATTATAAAATTTAACTTTGATAAAATTAATTTGAATGCATTCTAAAACCATGTATAGTTTTAGTACAAAACTGAATTTCATATTTTTACTGGAAGCTAGCAATTATCAAATACAGGAAGTCCCCAAGTTATAAGTGGAGTGGGTTACAAAACAGGGCATTTTTAAGCAAGTTAAGAATTCTTAAGAGGGAATGTTCCTCATTCTTTACGAGGAACCAGGAGGAACCAGATCTTGCATAGGCACAATGCTAGAAACGGGAGACATGTTCCTGAACTACCAAAAATCAACATTTGCTATATTGTATAAAAATTTTGTGAATATAAAATAATTTAATTTGAAAGTGTTACCCATATTTTCCTGACTACTATTTGAAAATTTAAAAAGTTAATTACTAAAGATGTATACATGTATGCACACATGTATATATGTATGAATTTATACATTTATACAATGATTCTAGTCCTCAATCTGCAGTGTTAGTAGTCTTACATAAATCACATTTTCCTCATTACTGTTTATTAAAAAAAAAAATTTTATTGACAATAGTGGAACAGGTTCATGTCAAACATATACGATCTGCATTGGTGTTTCTCCCGTCTCGGTATTTTCTTATCCTCAGTTTCCTTTCTAATCTGCCTTGGCACTAATTCATGACCATCACTCTTCCTCTCAGCAGCCATTATTAATTAGATTTTCCTCAATAAACAAATGTAGCAATCCACAAAATAAATAGCCAGTCTACACTGGGCAGGAAAAAATATATGTCAACTGAAGCAGCATGGGGCAGCCACATGGAAACCATGGACTGTACGGACATTTCGGTAGCAACCTACACGAGCCATGCAAATATAAGACTGGTACTTATTCATATTATGGGAGATGGCATGGGCTCACAGAGCACATCAAGATGTAAAAATTGGGACGCGAGATGACATTTATACAATCGGGCAATTGTAAGTTAGGGATTCCCTGTATCTCCATATTCAAATTATAAGAACCTGCCATAAAAATACATTAATACTAATAAATGAATCATTTATTTATTTTCTAGAATTAAATGGTTCTTTCCATGTTGCCTACCTCGATATCAATTCAAAAAGTTAGACGCATGGCCCTGACTGCTAACCGACATAGGTTTGTAGAAACGGTATACAAATTCAAGATTACTATTTAACATCCAATTAAAATAAACAAAAAATCATTGTTACAACAAACACTTTAATTGAGCTTCATGGAAAAACTTTTTTCATTTCCTCAAGCACACAAGCACACACACTAAGAAACTAAAATCTTACCCAGTACTAGCATGCACTTGCAAAACAACCAACTGCAACATAAATACTATCCATGCAACCTTCATCATTTAATTGTTTTTTACTTGTAAAACACTACAATCCTTCAATCTGTATAAACAATACATACCAACATGAAATGCCATATTTGGTGTCCTTGATAGTTATTTTTTATTGACATGCCTAGCTAAATATTGTATGGACATTTGTAAATGTCAAACTGCACACCCAAACACCTAAAAATAAGCAAATTATAATACAATAGTTATACCTCATCTATTCTCAGCACATTTTCTGCAGACTCATACATCAAGAGGGAATGTTCCTAGCTTGCCTCTGAAATTAAGTAATGACTAACAAGAATGCTGTGCCACTGCATTATATCTAAATAAATACTGTAGATCATAAACTATTTGTAGCCAACATTAACCTGTGTAGCAACCTGTACGTCATCACATATGGAATTATTCTTAACGACCACAACATGGCATTAAGGAATTAAAATGTTAAATCACAATGTGCTTATTAATCATAAAAATATATGACATAGTAAATGTCATCACCTGGAGAATTTTCTGTATTTAATAGTTAGTGAACTTGTCATTCTGTATATTTACAATATATACATGAAATTACATTACTGTGTTGTACATCAATTTAGTGTTTTTACAATACCTATACTGCATTTGAGAATACTGTACCGATAAATGAAATTACACCAGGTGATAGCTTTACCAATGATGTATAGTATTATTCCAATCAAATTTTATAAATCTTCAATCATTTTGTATTTGAGCACCTACTGGTGTGTAGTTGCCCTTTGGTTTATAGAAAATCTGCCCTGTAGCAATACGCCTCCACAATTCTCTTGTCAACAGCCGCTTCTCTTTATGAAGTTTTTCCAGAAGAGAACTATTCTCTTTAGCACGACGTGACAGGTATGGTAGTACCTCGTTTACTGGACCATAAGGAACATATTTGTACACAGAGTAGCCAGCTTGTCCTGTAGATAAATTACCGTTGTAATCATACGTTATATTGTGGAGTTAAAATATAAATGGAGAAAAGTGCAAATGCATCAAAGTAGCTGTATTTTTAAGAAGTCAATGATAAAAGTACAGTGGTACCTCGGTTTAAGAGTTGAATCCGTTCCTGGAGACGGCTCGTATTTCAAACACCCTTAATCCGAAGCTAAGAGGGAGGAGGAGAGGTGTTACTGTTTGGAAGGGGAGTCCCCTTCCATTATAACATCAGGCAGTGAGGACTTCACTGGTGTGCACACACTGGCATGTTTTGCCTGCATACCACTAAGACTTGCTTGTCTTACTAAGAATCTGTCTAAAGACGCTTGTTTTTCCCTACATTTTAACACTTGTCTGTAGTAAGACATCACATTGTCATTTAAAAGGTCAATGCAACGGCCTGCTACAGCTTTACTTGGGTGAGTTTTTTCAACAAAACTTTACAATTCTTCCCATACTTCACACATTTTCTTAACACTTTAGCGGTATCACGGCGCTCGAGAGCGTTGGCACTTTTTGTGTTGAGGTTGCACAGCGGACTCGCTCACGAGTCACGAGAAAAAATATTTCTATAAGCTATTTGTTATGCGATCGACTTTGGGATTAGTTTGAAAATGTTCGCCATGAAATTTCCATTTTCTCTAATAGCCACATAGCCTATTTGGGAGAATGGCATAGCATTGCACCATCGTGGTAAGACCATTGTATTGTTGACACGACAAGTGTAATCGACGTAGTTTTTATTTGGTGCTGGTCTAATGCATCTTTGTGTGACATTTTATACTTATGTTCTTCTAGAACATTCTATCGCGAACACATTGGTACAAAAATGAAATATGTACATCAAAAATTAATGTCAGAACAGTGAAAAGAATATACACTTTTCAATAGGGGTTTTGCCGATGTGCCGTCACAGTTTACACTTCGGCCACTTCCCACACTCTTGTGGGTGGGCTGCGACACCGATTCTACATTTATATGTCCGTGTAGGGAATTTTATTGCGATCTCAGCGATACCAAATTTAATGCTGTAGGACAAGTGTGGAGTTGACAACCCTGAAAAAAGAGTAGCAACATTTCGTCGCTGTTTGGCGCTCACGACTAGTGATCAACGTAGTTCTTTATTTGGTGCTGGTCTAACTCGTGCTTTGGTGACATTTTAAAACGTATGTTCTTCTAGAACATTCTATTGTAAACACGTTGGTACAAAAATGAAATACATACATCAAAAATTAATGTCAGGACAGTGAAAAGAGTATACACTTTTCAGTGTTGCCGCTCGATCGCCCGAAACGCTGCACTATTTTCTTAGGTGCAGAAACCACTGCACCTTACCACTGGCTTTCTTGGGACCCATGGCGAGATAATATAATAACTTTTTATGCTCAAATCGCCAAAAATCCGACAAAAAACCATAAATCCTTGTGAAGAATTCAGGCAGAATAGTCACTGGGCACAAGGTACTGGTAAACCGAGGCGCGATCTCCGTGCCACCACGTGCTAGTCGGCCTGTACACGTATCAACACTTGTGTTCCGAGGCAACCCTCGCCTTCCGAGGCAAATTTTCCAAGCAAATCCTGCTCGTATTCCAAAAAACTCATATACAGGGACACTCGTATTCCGAGGTACCACTGTAGAGATAAATTCAAAATTAAATACAAACTGCTCTAGTGTGTTTATTGCTACATATCAAAAAGATCATATATGAATGATCAAGAAAAAAACAGCATTTAATGTAATGAAATGCTATTTTCTGGGTGAGACCCAGAGGCTCCCTGGAACTATACTGGGCTGATGTTTATATATTAGACCATGGCAACAGTCAATCGATGGAGTTCTAGCTGACTGGGGACCACGAGCCAGAACCTGGCCCCCCCTCAGAGAAGCACGAGGAGCAATGGCCTATGGAACCCCCCTCCCCCATGTTTTTGGAAGCAGTCTATGTCTGCCATCTACCAGGTCAGGACCCAGAAAGGTAGGAATCCCAAAACAAACTACAGCTGGTAAAAAATTGCAAACCAAAAGCTAAACGAGCAAACAGAACTCCAATAAGAAAACAAGCAAACAAGCATGACATCACTAGCACCCCCCATCCCCAGGAGGGAGAAGGGGGTCCCCAGACCCCCCTGGCTACCCAACCCCAGTTCAGAGGCTGAGTATCAAAAAGGAAAAAAAAAAAAATGCCGACCAGAAGGAAGGAAGGAAGGAAGGAAGGAAGGAAGGGAGGGAGGGAGGGCCCTGTGCTTCCTGACATCGCCAGGAAGCACAGGAGCCAACAAGCACACATTGAGGTGATCCAACTCGCTGACCAATGAGCCTCAATGGGGTTTTCCAGGACCCTTAGGCTAACTGCTAAGGCAAGCCCAGGCAAGGTACTGCTTACCAGTTATCCCAGATGGCAGGAGTTGTGACCTATTTTTTGGCCAATTTATTTACAGATTTCAAACTATTTCCTCTGTCTATTTAGATTGTATTGATGAATGGGGACCAGATGAGAGCCTTTTCACTTATATGAAATGAAGTTACAGGATTCCAGCTAGATGCCAGATGCTCAGATTACAGGATTCCAGGTGGATTCTTTGGGAAGACTGGGTAAAATAATGAATAGGGAAATAGTAAGGAAAGTCAGAAATGAGAACACTGGATTAAAAAAAGAAAAAAGAATTCAGTTTGAAAATGACAAAGTAACTGATCAAAGTAACAATAGGTAACCATGGACTTTTGCTTATTACCTAATGAGTTAACACGCAATACTGTACAGGCTTTGCTATGAACAATGTATTAAATAAAACACACACACACACACATCCCAAAGAATTAAACAATCCCAGACTTACCTAGAGGTAAGGAGATGTGGTCACACATTCCCAAAAGTTGACCAAAACACAGAACCCTGTCCAGAGGGTGGATTCCAAATTCAGACATCTTGTTAACAGTGTAGCGAACAGTATCTTCATTATGGGAAGCTATCATGATGGCAATCTGGTGGAGGAGAAATTTAAATACTAAATAGCTACCCAGTAGTTACACGTTCGTACCTGAATCAACACACTCGGCTGGCATTCTTGAGGTTATCTTGAGGTTATCTTGAGATGATTTTGGGGCTTTTCGTGTTCCCGCGGCCCAGTCCTCGACCAGGCCTCCACCCCCAGGAAGCAGCCTGTGACAGCTGACTAACACCCAGGTACCTATTTTACTGCTAGGTAACAGGGGCATAGGGTGAAAGAAACTCTGCCCATTGTTTCTCGCCGGTGCCTGGAATCGAACCCAGGACCACAGGATCACAAGTCCCACGTGCTGTCCGCTCAGCCGACCGACTCCCTAACTCCCTAATTCTGCTTCCTAACTCTGTTTTAAAAGCCCTTCCCTTTACAATATGATACTTTTAAAATTACTGATGGTCTTGGCATCCACCACCTTCTCATTTAACTTTGTTCCAATTATCTACCACTTGTTTGCAAGAAAACTTTAGTATTTTTTTTTTAGCCGATTTGTTTCCTTGGTTCGAGTCTATGCCCTCATGTTCTTGAAGTTACAGGTTTCAAGAATACCTCTCAAATTTATTGATTAATGTTACTTTTTTTGTACGTGGTTATCATATAGCCTCTTTCCTTCCATCTTCTAGTTTTGGCATATTTAACACCATTAGCCTCTCGTAGCTCGTTTTTCAGTTCCGGAAGGCATTTAGTAGCATGTCTTTGCACCTTCTCCAGTTTATTTATGTACTTCTTGAAATATGGGCACTATACAACTGCTGCATATTCCAATTTTGGTCTCGCAACAGTCACGAACAATTTCCTTAATCCTTCAAATGTGTGTAATTACCCAAGTGTAGCTACAGGGTGAGAGCTATGCTTGTGGTGTCCCATCTTTCCAATACTCTGTCATATAATGCTTTGAAACTACAGTACTGACGGTTTTGGCCTCCACCACCTCCACCTCACTTGTTCGAACCGTCTACCAATCTCTATGCAAACAAAAACGTTCAAATATTTTTGTTGCACCTTTGTGTGTTTTCTTAAATGATTTTCTAACACATCCATAAATACAATCATTCCAGATAACAGGTAATTTGCTGTTATTGTGAACATTACTTATTAGCTACCTCATATTTGCCTTTTCCAAATAGAGCTACAGTATTCCAATATACCATGAAGTATTATACATTAATTTTATTGTTCTCATCCACTTTTAGAATGTGCAACTTTACACTATATGAACTGTTAAAGCAGCAGCTGCTTATTAATGTCTTGTTAAATTATCAATTATTTTCATAACCTTCAATAATTCAATCATGTTCCATCTCCCTCCTTAATTTTAAGGATTCCCTAATAATAAGTGTTTAGTTTCTCCTCCTCCTTTTCATGTTATGCCCTCCGTAAAAGCTGTATATAATTTGCGAAGTGTCTTGCACAATTTTTTGTTAGCTTGCTTCCTGTTAGTATTAAATGTCTACCTTAAACCTTTACACAATCTAAATGTTATATCAAGTTATGCCCGAAACACTTACACCAATATTAGTAGCTTTATGCAATGTACTGTACTTGTTTTATCAGTGTGACTTTCCCCTTTTGTGTTTCGTATTTATGTACATCTGTGTTAACATGCTACTACCACTATTATTATTGTATAATGAATGTTAGAATTTTTTGTTTTTACTCATACAGAATAATGAATGTTGGTATACATTGTAACAGTTCAACTCATGTCCTTACCTTTTGTGGTTCTCCTATTGATTTATTCATTTTAATTCGTCGAAGGCATTCATTAAGACTTTCATGATACATATCTGTAGTAGCCTCATAACTAGGATTAACTGGGTCTTCATAACCAAGCGCAATAGCACGGGCACGTTCCTAAAGGAAAAAATTATTTTACAGATACATCATAATAATGTGAGCATTATTATTTAAAAACCTAAACATTTACAGCATTTAGTTTGTAAGAAATTATACCATCATTTTACATAACTAATAAATGACTACATGTACAGTATTTGTTATTACAGTAATTACTTTATTAGGCTAGAAAGGTAAAACTAATAAGTTTGTTTGGTTGCCTCTCTGTAGAACTGAAAGCTAAGTAACTTCATAGTTATCCGAGCTGATTTAAGTCAATGCATAGTCTAGAAAATGTAATATTATATACACACCACTAAGACAGTTCCTAGAGGCAAGCTTATTTTCAAAGTTATGATATTTATACATTTCACCCTAGCTTAATAATTAACAAATACACACCACTTAACTATTTTTGTCTGCATTAAGATCTAACAATTTTAAGGAAATATCCCAATAAAGTAGATAACTACTTTAGCTTAAGGCTCTTGAAAGATGGTGAACATCTAAGAAAGTAGGTCAGCCTGGGGAGGAACAAGCATCTGGTGATGAGGTAAATGAGCATCAAAGTCCTCAGTCCTCTCATACATCCTCTTCATGTCAGCAATATTCTTACCACAGACATTGTTGATGGCCCTCTCTCCAAGAGGGAGAGCTCTTAGTGTGCTGTCCCCAGGTTTGGTTGTACAGATATCAGGCAAAACACCCTTTATTTGATCTATTATTTGCTGGTTGGTAGACTTTACTTTGCACTTTCATACTAAAGGTATACAGAAAGGAAGAAATGCCAATTGCTACAAGACTCGTCAATCACTAACTTTCAGCCATTTCTACCTGGGGTAGGGGATGGCAGGTCACATTTGAGGCCGAGAACACACGGGCAATGATTATAAATAGACTGCACATTGCAAATTGGACAGATTATGAAGTTAATTATGTCACACATTTAGGATCTTGGTAGTACAGTCGGGTTCGTTCTTGATGCACAATCGAGAATTCCGGATTCAAATCTCAGGCAGGACAGAATTGATTGGGCACATTTCCTTTTACCTAATACCGCTGTTCACCTAGCAGTGAGGAGGTACTTGGGAGTTAGTGGGGTCAGTAATTCGGCTTTGGGGAGGATCTCAATAAAAGCCAAACGTGTATGAATATACACTGTCTTCCTGTCTCCCGACAGTGAATTATTATGGGTGTGACATAATTCTTTAACTGATTATGTCGAATTTAATTAATTCCCCTAATTCGTTCTCTCTTTACCTCCTTCAAACATTTGTGTGGGTAATGGAATGTTGTCTAATCTCTAGTGTGAACACTGATATCAAGTATTCACAGTGTTTGCTGCCCTTTCATTGTCCATTATAACTTGGGTAGTCATCTTTTAAGGTTCCTACCAAATCCTTTGTTTTACTTCTTATATAGGCATAGAACAACTTTAAATCTTTCTTTATGTTTTGGGCAATTTTTCTTTTATTGTTTCTTTTGGCCGAGATTATTTCCTGGGTGGCTGTATTTAATGCCCTTTTATGTATCTCATAATCAATGACGTTCATCGTGGATAAACACACACTCCAGAGATTCTGCTTAGTTATCAAAGCTCATTTTTACCATTTGTATCTTTCATCTAGTTCCCTTTCTTTTCTGTCTCCTTTTCAACACACATTTTTTAACAAGTTCAGTGATAACCTTGAAATTTCCCCCATGATGCTTCCATGCCATGGTCAACTATCAGCTCCCCTCAGGAGTCATTTTGCAGTTCCTCTCATTTCTTGATAGTCTGGTTGATACCTGGTCAGTCTCCTGTGTGGTAATCTTGAAAGTCATCATCGTGGACTTTAAAGAAACTTCATGTAGGTTGCAATAATTGTAAACCGTCTTAGAATACTGTAATCACACAAAGGGGTGAGCTTTTCTTCTACCTGAATTTAATCAATCATGCTCTCTTCAGTGTTAGCACACGATCTAGAATTATGTTACCTCAAGTGGGCTCTACCACATGCTGTATGTATCAGGTCAAGAAATTGTTCTCCTGCCTGTGATGTTAGATTTACCCAATCTATTGTCTTGTGGTTAAAGTTCATTATTATAACAGTTTCTTATGCCACATTGATCACATTATGCAGATCAGCAACTTCCTCTGGTGCTGCAGTGTCAGCCCTGTCCACTGTCAGTTAGCTACCATCTTGAGTTAGTATGTTGCACCATACAGACTAAAGATCCCACAACATTCAATTCGTCATTGGTGGTTGCATTCAGATCCTCTCACATACAGCATTACACTACCTGCTCCTCTTCTGTCCTTTATGAGTGGTTGATGGTATCCTGGAAGATGGAATTCCCCTTCTATAATGTCCTCTCGTCCCCATGTATCACTGATGACAATGTTGTCGGGATTCTCAGCCTCAGCGTAGGCACACAATGCATCAAATTTATTTGCTAGGCTTCTGGCATTTTTGTAGAAGCAATTCAAACTCCTGACATTGTTCCTTGGTGAACAGAATGCTACCCTTTTCTCATTACTATTCCGTTCATCATCACTGGTTTTGGGTTTGTCGACCAAGACATATAGGATTAGTTCTGACTGGCTGTATGAAGGACATCTCCATCTACTATCATGAACACCTGCCCTTGCCTGATCTTTAGCTTTAAATCTTAAGTGTACATTTCTTAACTACTTTAGTTTGCCTTTTAGTATCCTAAAATGTCTGGGGAAATGTAAACTTTGTTATACCCTTCAAGAACTTTTAGTTTGTGTGCACTGTTGAGTATCCTCCAGTGTCCAGAATTTGCAATGCTTATGCATTCAGATTTGCTTCAGATTTATCTGTCCTCCCTACACAGAAAATACTTAAATCCTCCTCCTCCTCCTCGCCTATCAGTTTATCATTGTTTCAATGATTTCCTGATGGGTCTTGTCCATCTTTTTCACCCTGACTGCTTGACAACGATGACATGGGAAGCAATGTTATTCAAGCATCGACCTGACATTGATCTTCATTTGACGATGAAAGCACTGCGCAAGACAATAACTGCACTTTGAGGGTTAAATAATTAACATATGAACAGATTAAAGACGAAAAAGTTCTGGCATAAATAGAATTGCAAAAATGTTGTAATGTGAGGTTGATATTTGGGGAAAAAAGTTAGGCATCAGATGGCATGGCAGGAGAGCGACGTGCCAGATAACTGGACTAAAGCTACTGTGCCCCCTAAATTCTATTAAAAGGAAATAAAACAGTTCACAGTATATGTTAAATAGGCAATCATCCAAGTTTTAGCAACATTAAAAATTGCTCTTCCGTACAAACCTGCTCCATATAAGCCCCTCGCACAAGCTTGGCACCAAAATAGAATTTTTGGCGATACGACTGTTCGAGGTCAAGGGAGAGGTTGTTAAAAGTTTCTTTCAGGTAACATTGGTATGTATTAAATACTATTGCTTTTTCCTGGTTATATTTCTTCATCATCTCTAAGGTGAGGCGAGATATGGCAGGCTGGAAGTAAGTTTGCTCTGCATCAACCATCACTCTTACATCACATTCTTTAGCATACTGAAAGAAGAAGAATGAATTATTACAAAAAATTCTTTCCTTTATAAAGCCTACCTATAAACTTTTCACTAGGAAAGTACACAGAGAAAATTAAAAATGGCAAGCCACATTTTTAAGAATACAAAATTTATGAACAATTCCCCCCCCCCATCACCACCATACTGCACACATGAGCACACCAAAGGTGAAAGTGCAATGATTCCTGGTGAGCTTTTGGGGGGAATTCCTTGCACATCAGGGTCATCTTTATCTGTGGCCCAATGAAGACAAGCTTTGACCTTTGCCTCAGAAGCCATTAAGGGAAGGGAAGCCATTAAGATACTTTAAGGCTGCCAACTCCATACCTAACACTGAGACAAATTACTCAATAAGGTCCAATTTTATGCATCTTCTATAGATCCAACAGTGGCTCCAACTTTATGTTGGTCCTTTCCATGGAGAACTCGTCCAATGTGGTCCGTCTTGCCTGTAGTAGTATACCTTTGTGTCCCTGCTGTCCCAAACAGGGATACAAAGTAAAACCATCTTTGAGACCAATCAGAAATGCCACCAACTTGAAGTCTGATGATCTCCCAGCCATACTCATACTACTTTAAGGTGTTCAGCAAGGTCATGCTGCTGTTTTAATCCTCTTCAAGGCGTTTTGAGTGAGCCAGGGAAAAAGATGAGTACTTTTTCCCCTTGTGGAGCAGTACGGCTTTGAGGCTACTTTGTGTGCTGTACCTAAAGAGGCGCCATTCATTATGGTTCAGAGTGCCTTAACAGACTGGTCACATTCTGGCAAGAGCCCATCCTGGTCACAAAATGAAAATGTTTTGGGAATAATAGTCACATTCTATATCTATGGGGCTTAAGCAATTGGGAAATAATGCTACCTAATAATATAAATAAAAAATATATTTTTTATTAAGTGCAAAAAAAGTCTTACTATATGGTAAGCACTATATATTAGAGTATCTGTAAACTTAAAAATAAAATGAGATATTAAACATTAATTTGCAATAATCAAAGATCAACCTTTTAATTTGTAAAATGTAAAACTTGCCTGGAAAATAGTATGCAGCCTGCGCATCATATTTTTAAACATCTCTTCCTCCTCCCTAGTAAGTGCAGAGATAATTGGTTCCATTTGCCCAGAGTTAAGGCTAGGCACGTGGAAAAGGTCACTCAAGAGGATGTTAGCATCTATCAGCCCTGACCAGGAGAACAGATGAATTAGACCTTTCTTGTCATAGGTCATGCTGTCTAACCATTTTCTTACTGCAGGATTATCGGTCAGCATGTTTTCCTCGCGGAAACGTTTCTCAAATACATCTGTTTTAATGTCAGAGAAGAGGATAGGCCCAGACTCTCCTGTCACTTGTGTAAAATACTGCCGTGCTTTTGCTATCACTTCTGAAAGCTGCATCTGTAAAAATATATTAAATAACCAGTCAACAAAATATTAATGTGTTTAAACATTTGCAAACTGCTTATTATCTAATAAAATGAACATACCAGAAATTAATAAGAGGAATTAAAGTTTGGAATACTGTTCACATGTACAAAGGCGTCTTAATACATGAAATCAATAACAAATTATTTGAGGAAACTTTTAGGAGCAGAACAGTGGAATCTAACCAGCACCATCCTCAGTCAAGGTCCATCATTCCTCTCATCACTTACCAAAAATATAAAATGCTAGCTGTGTACCTGTGTTCATTTGTGTATCAATGTGGACACTTGGAACACATTTTGACAAGAAATTAATTAAAAAACTGGTTTCATAATTTCGACATGGGTGCCGACGTATATCGGTTGATGTGCGACAATACCCATCCCATCACGTTCCACTACCCATACCCATCCCGTTCCAATAGCATGGGATGGGTATGGGGTGCATAATAAAGAAAATTGAATATCACTCAGGATGGTGGGTATGGACAAACCGTGAAGACAACTGAACTGCATTACCTACTCGAGAAAGGAACAAATTACAACAAGTATAGATGCGAGGTTTGTCCCTAAAATCGTCCATCATCTGATTAGTGACACGCCATTGTCGGAGACAAGAATTAAGAAAGTTAGCCCGGCAAAGTTGGTTGTACTGCCTCCCATCCAATTACTGGCCAGACTCAACAACTGAGTAATCTGATGAGCACATGAACCCGAGAGCCATGCCCAACATACTATACCTATTAAAATTATTTTTAATCTGGAAGAATTTTCTGCAGCATTACAATCACAGTTTGATAGGCTATCTGAACAGCATCTGAAGGTGGGGGGGAATCTCTACACAGACGACATGTAAATAGTTCCACGCGGGTGACCGGTTCCACGCTGGTAACAGTCAACAGGTCGTTACCCCAGCAAGAACTATACCTTTAATTGGCATTCTTGGCAGTAATATTCGTTTATCACCTCATTTCTTAACACCAAGAGCACAAGACAAGATGGCTATAATCAACCATAGCAATTTAAAAGAAAGGAAGGAAAGAGAGAGGGGGGGGGGAGGGGAGGAGTGAGTTCTTTAATCCTGTAACTTCAAGAACGTGAGGCGAGATTCAAACTATGGAAACATAGGTGCCAAAAATATTAGACTTCACTTTTTTTCCATTTATTTACCCCAGGCACAACTGGCTAAACATATACATTTCTTCCTTTACACATGCATTATGTTACCAGATGTGTACACATGCTTTGATGACTAGGTTCACAGACCACTCCACCACCACCTCGTGCTAGCAGCCTACAACCCCATCCTTCCCTTTAAGAAGTAGAAGGCAGCAGGGGGGGGGTCAAGAACCAGAAAACTGACTAAGGAAAAAAACAGCCCAGCACTCTGAAATGTGTATAGCCTAGTCCTAGTGACAATGATTGGGCGCGCGCTACTCACCAAGAGCTGAGGTCGACCCAGGGCAGTCATCTTTATCGCTGCGAAGCCGGTGCCGTGTGTAGCGTCTGAAACAAGCGACATCAGCCATTATACCACACAATACCACACAGCATAAAATATCCCCACATCTTCCTCGCCCTTAATATACCAATTATTAAGATCTTTAAAACTGAAGGTGGCAGGTGTCACAATTCCCCTGCATAGCAGGGTAAACTGCCTCTTCCCTTCGTCGTTGGCATCTTCGTCACGGGGAAAATACATCACCAACAAGTATAAAGTTTCAACATCAACGTTACCAGATGTGTACACATCATGGAATCCAGCTAGAATTCACTCGGTAAAACATCTAAACTACTGGGACCGACTAAAGAACCTAAACCTGTATTCTCTTGAGCGCAGGCGGGAGAGATACATAATGCACTCCAAGCCTGAACCCAGACCGGAGTTGCGTGGTGACCGCCGGCCGGGTCGGACGTTCCTGAGGTCTCTCCGCACTGGCTAGTGTTTACGTTGGGTGATCGCTTGTTTGCCCTGCTGGTGGTGGTTTGCCACTGATGGGGTGACGTTTGCTTCGCCATGGGGACGTTTCGCCCTCCATTGCAGAGGACGCTGTCAGCTGGTCTGGCGTTTACGGTGCCGGTGGACCATCCATTGGTTGGTGTCGCCCTAGTAGACGTGCTGCATGTGCAGCTGTCTGACCTGGTGTCCAATGTGGTCCGTCTTGCCTGTAGTAGTATACCTTTGTGTCCCTGCTGTCCCAAACAGGGATACAAAGTAAAACCATCTTTGAGACCAATCAGAAATGCCACCAACTTGAAGTCTGATGATCTCCCAGCCATACTCATACTACTTTAAGGTGTTCAGCAAGGTCATGCTGCTGTTGTAATCCTCTTCAAGGCGTTTTGAGTGAGCCAGGGAAAAAGATGAGTACTTTTTTCCCTTGTGGAGCAGTACGGCTTTGAGGCTACTTTGTGTGCTGTACCTAAAGAGGCGCCATTCATTAAGGTTCAGAGTGCCTTAAAAAAAAATATATAATATTTTTTATTAAGTACAAAAAAAGTCTTACTCTAATATATAGTGCTTACCATACAGTATCTGTAAACTTAAAAATAAAATGAGATTAAAAATTAATTTGCAATAATCAAAGATCAACCTTTTAATTTGTTAAATGTAAAACTTGCCTGGAAAATAGTATGCAGCCTGCGCATCATATTTTTAAACATCTCTTCCTCCTCCCTAGTAAGTGCAGAGATAATTGGTTCCATTTGCCCAGAGTTAAGGCTAGGCACGTGGAAAAGGTCACTCAAGAGGATGTTGGCATCTATCAGCCCTGACCAGGAGAACAGATGAATTAGACCTTTCTTGTCATAGGTCATGCTGTCTAACCATTTTCTTACTGCAGGATTATCGGTCAGCATGTTTTCCTCGCGGAAACGTTTCTCAAATACATCTGTTTTAATGTCAGAGAAGAGGATAGGCCCAGACTCTCCTGTCACTTGGGTAAAATACTGCCGTGCTTTTGCTATCACTTCTGAAAGCTGCATCTGTAAAAAGATATTAAATAACCAGTCAACAAAATATTAATGTGTTTAAACATTTGCAAACTGCTTATTATCTAATAAAATGAACATACCAGAAATTAATAAGAGGAATTAAAGTTTGGAATACTGTTCACATGTACAAAGGCGTCTTAATACATGAAATCAATAACAAATTATTTGAGGAAACTTTTAGGAGCAGAACAGTGGAATCTAACCAGCACCATCCTCAGTCAAGGTCCATCATTCCTCTCATCACTTACCAAAAATATAAAATGCTAGCTGTGTACCTGTGTTCATTTGTGTATCATAATGTGGACACTTTGAACACATTTTGACAAGAAATTAATTAAAAAACTGGTTTCATAATTTCGACATGGGTACCGACGTATATCGGTTGATGTGCGACAATACCCATCCCATCCCTTCCCGTTCCACTACCCATACCCATCCCGTTCCAATACCATGGGATGGGTATGGGGTGCATAATAAAGAAAATTGAATACCACTCAGAATGGTGGGTATGGACAAACGTGAAAAAAAATGAACTACATTACCTACTCGAAAAATTAACAAATTACAAGGATAGATGCGATGTTTGTCCCTAAAATCGTCCATCGTCAGATTAGTGACATACCATTGTCGGAGACAACAATTAAGAAAGTTAACCCGGCAACGTTGGTTGTACTGCCTCCCATCCAATTACTGGCCAGACTCAACAACTGAGTAATTTGACGAGCACATGAACCTGAGAGCCATGCCCAACATACTATATCAAAATTATTTTGAATCTGGAAGAATTTTCTGCATCATTACAATCAGTTTGATAGGCTATCTGAACAGCATCTGAAGGTGGGGAAAGGGATGGGGGGATCTCTACACAGACGATATGTAAATAGCTCCACGCTGGTAACAGTGTCAACAGGTCGCTACCCCAGCAAGAACTATACCTTTACTCGGCATTCTTGGCAGTAATATTCGCATATCGCCTCATTTCTTAACACCAAGAGCACAAGACAAGATGGCTATAATCAACCATAACAATTTAAAAGAAAGGAAAAAGAGAGGGGAGGGGAGGAGAGAGTTCTTGAATCCTGTAACTTCAAGAACGTGAGGCGAGATTCAAACTATGGAAACGTAGGTGCCAAAAATATTAGACTTCACTTTTTTTTCCATTTATTTACCCCAGGCACAACTGGCTAAACATATACATTTCTTCCTTTACACATGCATTGTGTTACCAGATGTGTACACATACTTTGATGACTAGGTTCACTGACCACGCCACCACCACCTCGTGGTTACAGCCCCCCCCCCCTTACCACCACCACCACCTCGCGCTAACAGCCTACAACCCCATCCTTCCCTTTAAGAAGTAGAAGGCAGCAGGGGGGGGAAACAAGAACCAGAAAACTGACTAAGGAAAAACACAGCTAAGCACGCTGAAATGTGTATAGCCTAGTCCTAGTGACAATGATTGGGCGTGCGCTACTCACCAAGAGCTGAGGTCGACCCAGGGCAGTCATCTTTATCGCTGCGAAGCCGGTGCCATGTGTAGCATCTGAAACAAGTGACATCAGCCATTATACCACAGAATACCACACAGCATAAAATATCCCCACATCTTCCTCGCCCTTAATATACCAATTATTAAAGCCTTTAAAACTGAAGGTGCCAGGTGTCACAATTCCCCTGCATAGCAGGGTAAACTGCCTTCTTCCCTTCGTCGTTGGCATCTTCGTCACGGCGAAAATACATCACCAGCAAGTATAAAGTTTCAACATCTACGTTACCAGATGTGTACACATCATGGAATCCAGCTAGAATTCACTCGGTAAAACATCTAAACTACTGGGACCGACTAAAGAGCCTAAATCTGTATTCTCTTGAGCGCAGGCGGGAGATACACATAATAATGTATACGTGGAAAATATTAGAGGGGCTGGTCCTAAACCTGCACACAGCAATAACATCACATAAGACCAGGAGGCATGGCAGGATGTGCCGAATACCCCCGTTGAAAAGCAGAGGTGCAACAGGTACTCAGATACTGACCGACCCCTCACAGTGTTCAAGAGGGAACTGGATAAGCACCTCCAAAGGATACCTGATCAACCAGGCTGCGAGCAACCGCGTCAAACAGCCTGGTTGACCAGTCCAGCAACGAGGAGGCCTGGTCGACGACCAGACCGCGGGGATGCTAAGCCCCGGAAACACTTCAAGGTAACTTCAAGGTAACTTCAAGGTAACTTCTGTTCTGGCGTCCCAGATAGTGATAAACGCTCCAGCCAAACAAGACGTCCCTTCTCCCCCACCAACTGCATCAAGGAGGAGTCAATTTAGCGAAATGTGATCATGGAATTTTGAAGCATGCCTGTGATGACATCGTTTGAATATTTTCTAAATTTTTATTAGGTTTCTTATTCTTTATTTTACGTACAACCTACAAAGTTATGCCTAATCAAAATTTTAAATCTCATGGAAGTATGTAGATGCCAGAGCAGCGGCACACGCTCTTAAGTCCAACTTGAAGAGGTTGGCCCTCACTATGGATGGTAGTCTAGTTGGTTGGGAGAATCTCCTGCACAACACTTACTCTTTCAAGAATACAGAAATTAAATTAAATCAGAATTGGGAGGGTGAATGATTAAAGTAACAAAGCTAGTTAAAGGACATTTATATAAAAAGTATTATGAACTTACTAACAAAATTATGGATGTTCAATACCAGTTTACATTACCAATACCTTCCCCTTTACTTTACCATTACTTCCCCTTCAGAGCAGGAGAGATTATTGAAATAAGAGGGAATACAGGGAACATGCATGGCATAAATCGAGGTTATCTTTAGATTATTTCAGAGTTTAGCGTCCCCGCGGCCCGGTCTTCGACCAGGTCTCCTTTTTGTTACACACCCCAGGAAGCAGCCCGTAGCAGCTGTAACTCCCAGGTACCTATTTACTGCTAGGTAACAGGTATCAGGGTGAAAAATTCTGCCCATTTGTTTCCGCCTCCACCGGGGATCGATCCCGGAACCTCGGGACTATGAATCCAGAGTGCTGTCCACTCAGCTGTCAGGGTCCTACACACACAAAGGTATCGATCACCTAAATTAACGGGATCGTCTCAAAGCTCGACAAATGTACTGCCTAGAATGGAGAAGAGAGAAGTATCAAGTAATATACATATGGGAAATACTGGAGGACCAGGTCACAAATCTAAACAGTAAAATAAACAACATACTGGAGTGAACGATATGGATGGAAATGCAGAACAGAACCAGTGAAGGGCAGGGGTGCCATAGGCACAATCAGAGAACACTATATAAACAACAGAGGTCTACGGTTGTTCAACATATTCCCAGCGAGTACAAGAAATATTGCCAGAACAAACGTAGACATCTTCAAGAGAAAACTGGATAGTTTTCTTCAAGAAGTGCCCGACCAACCAGGTTGTGGTGGATACGTGGGCCTGCAGACTGCTCCAAGCAACAGCCTGTTGGACCAAGCTTTCAAGTCGAGCCTGGCCCTGGGCTGGGCAGTAGAAGAACTCCCAGAACCTCATCCAGGTACTAAGGTTCCTTAGTAGTTAAGGGAATTATTCGACAAGTATGCCGGATTATTATAAGAGACGAGTGATGCTGTGTACAGCGACCAGATTTAATTCTCATGCTGTGTGTGTCCAACTACTTGTGCTGGACGATCTCGCTTCATGCAAGTCGCCGTTCAATCCCCGACCGTCCATTTGGCTGGGCACCATCCCCATCCCCGGCCCATCCCTGATCCTTATCCTGATCCCTTCCAAATGCTATATAGCCGTAATGGCTTGGTGCTTTCTTTTGAAAATTCCCTTCCCTTCTCAGGCGGTGTAAACATGTCACTCAGAAAATGTTAAGTGCAACTCCGTTCCTACCATTGTAAAGCTCAAACCATTCGAGTTGTTAAACTGGTCAAAAAACTGCCAGGATGTTACAGTCCAAATGTATTCCCTTCATCAGCAACTGTTTTCTAAACTGGCTCTCCCAATAATCAAGACAAATCATAGACTTCTAATTTCTGAGTCGAGTGCTGAGTACTGAGGTGACCAGACCAGTATTTTCAGATCTCTTGACAAACGGACACAATTAAAGTGGATAGGTCGGGTAAATTCATACGTTCCAGGGGACATCACCTGATAAAATTTATAGGAACAGGCCCAACTGATCTCTTACTCATTAACAGGATTTGTTCATGGTTGTTCACAAGTTTTAAATTTCAGAAAATGATTAAATAGCTAGGCTGATTTCTAACACTAGGGACAAGTGTTAGTGTATCGATATATAGCACACAAGTGCTATATATCGCCTAGTGAAGCATATAATAGAACTCTCTGAAGTATACAAGGCTGTCATTAAACTGGAATTTGCAGTCTCCATGGCACAGTGGTAAAACATTCGCCCGGCGCTTCGCGAGCGCTTTGGCCTGGGTTCGTATCCTGGCCTGAGAAGATTGACCAGGTACCAAGCCTTAACTGTAGCCTCTGTTCACCCAGCAGTGAATACCTGGTTGTTAAACGATTTTGCGGGTCGTATTCCGGGAAAAATTATGATTAAGGACCTGCGCGAAACGCTGGCGATAAATGCATTACCAATCTCCCATATGTAGTGTATAATGTGAGGAAGAATTTCTAGAGATTCCTAAAGGCCGTTCTCACACACACACACAGACACAGACACACGCGCCAGCCTTGTATGGATCTGTGTCACATAGTTGCAAGCTTCAAATGACATTCAATGTAGCATCCCCCCCCCTCCCCCAACCTGATTTTTTAGTTTTTTTTTCTGTGAACAGATTTCCTTCCAGCTGGCAGGCCACACCAAATCTTTCCTCAACATTCTAATAATACGCACTTGTTAGGTTTGACCTCCGGTCGCCACCAAGTTACAGCCCCGCTCCTGTGCCAGGCAAGTCCACTACGGGCTCACCATAGCCCGTGCTACTTGGAACTTTTGGTTCCGAGTTGCTGAATCTTAAACAACCGATCACCACGTATTTATCTAACCAGCCTTGCGCCTGGTCTTTTCCTAAAGCTTGTTGCAATCTTCTTCAGTCTCCAATTCTTATTAATTTCGCATGAAACATTAACATGAAGTATTCCCTCAAGACAAATTCTTCACATAACACGAATGGTGTGAGGCCGAGAAGTGATCTTTAGGGACACGCTTATTATGTCTGCATCCTGGCATCTCTCTCCTCACTTTAACACGCTGTCTACTCCCGGTACTGTCCTCCTGCAGCCACTTGAATGTTCAGAAGCGCTCGTCTCCTACCATATCGCAGCTTACACAGACCTCTCGAATCTACGAATATGCAGTCATCTCTCTCTCATTCTTCCTATATGATCCAAGACATCCTCCTGTAGTATTCTGTTAAGCTGACTAGGCCAGGTTTTCCCCTTTCTAAATCCATGTTTGTGTTTCGCGTATGCATGAACCAAACTCTGGCGTGAGGACCGGGGGCGAATACCCAGCAAGGTCTATCTCACACGTCTGGGTTCACTGCCAACATGTGTTCACGTCACACTGCACGTAGAAATATGTTAACTTGCAGGAATATGGTGTGTGCTGCAAGCATTGTTAGTACATGTGCAGGCGAGGCGTGCGGCGCAGTAGTAGATAGGTTCATATTGCTTTATAACAAGGGATATGAACAATGTTGCAAGCATGCGAGTGCGTGGTGGGGGGTGGGGGGAGGGTCCTTGTACCTGCATTAATACACTCGGGGTTTGAGTCTAGCGACGTGTGCGTGCCCAGACCAACCAGGAGAGTTTAGAACACATTCCAAGCGTAAAGGAGTAATGTACAAAGATCCCACCACAAGAGGGAGGCCTGAGGAGGCAAGGAGTGTTTCCTAACACTAGGATACTTGGATAACACTAGCTCGTATTAGTAAATATCTTAAAAATATGTAGTGTCGTTATTGTAGAATTAGTAGAGGAAATAATTGTTGTATTAGTATTACTATGAGGAGACACCAGCACCCACCAGAGATTGCGTCAATACAGTTGATGAAGGTCTCCATATTCTTCTCGCATTGGGCCTCGTTGACGTAGAAGTAGGTCCTCGCGCTGGACACCTTGTAGCGACGGTCGGCAAACTTGCGCTGAGGCGTGTACCGCTCCATCGCGTTCGACCCCTCCGCCTTCGACTCGCAGCCCCTGTGGCAGCCACCCAGAGAAATCAACGGACCAACTTTAGCTAGGATGTAAGCTGGAACTGAAGGTTTAGTATGCCCGTATGCCCCAGCGTGAGCCTGTGCCCGTGTAAATATGAGCGCGTGCATACGCGCAATGGTTCAAAGCACACAGCAGCAGAGCACATCTACACAAGCACGGTGTAGCAAGTATATTATTGGGATAATCTACTCGCTGTAGCGAGTAGATTATCCCAATAATATATTCGCTACAACGGAAACCCCAGCCCCACAACACAACACATATCATTTACACAATTACAAGATAATCTACCTTCTTCTAAATATGTATAACTGAGGCAGCAGCCTTCAACGACCGTCGTCGTTGAAGATTAAGGCACCACAGTAAGTGGCCCGAATAGCCCGGTAGTAAGACGACCCGACGACCCGACACGACATAACTCCCAAATCCACCCGACCCTTGACCCATGTGATCTATGTAATGTGACCCACGTGATGATGACCACTTGCCCCCATGGCTCCCTCTGCTATGTTGCTCGTCACCTTTACAATCAGACGACCTGTATGGGTATAAGAGGTGTGGCGCCACAACACACAAGGATCTTCAGTTCACGGGAGACATCTCCCGTCACGCAGGGTGCAGTCGCACCTCCACAGATGGCTCAAAAGGGCCACCACTTACGGGCTATTCATGCCCGTGCCACCTTTTGGGTGGCTTAATCTTCATCAATCAATCAATCAACACACAAGGCTATACAGCACCGCTCCTGTGCCAGGTAAGTCCACTACAGGCTCACCATAGCTGCTGCTTGGAACTTGTTCCGAGTAGCTGAATCTATAACACACGGTTTACGGGCTATTCATGCCCGTGCCACCTCTTGGGTGGCTTAATCTTAATCAATCACCTGGAGTAAGTATATTCAGCACCTCAGCACCGTATGTATGGTCTCCCCCCCCCTCCACACACACACATGGGGCCTCACGACTAAGTGGACAGCGCTCTGGGGTAGTAGTCCTAAGGGCCCGGGTTCGATCCCCGGCAGAAGCAGAAAAAATGTTTCTTTCACCCTCGTGCCCCTGTTCATCTAGCAGTAAATAGGTTCCTGGGAGTTTGACTGCTGCTACGGGCTGCTTCCTAGGGGTGGGGGGTGTACTCAGTTGTGCTGGCGGGGGTTGAGCTCGCTCTCTCTGGTCCCGCCTCTCAACTGTCAATCAATTGGTGTACAGATTCCTGTGTGTGTGTGTGTGTGTGTGTGTGTGTGTGTGTGTGTGTGTGTGTGTGTGTGTGTGTGTGTGTGTGTGTGTGTGTGTGTGTGTGTGTGTCTGTGTATTCACCTAGTTGTGTTTGCGGGGGTTGAGCTTTGCTCTTTCGGCCCACCTCTCAACTGTAACTTTTTTTCCACACCACACACAACCCCCCAGGAAGCAGCCCGTGACAGCTGACTAACTCCCAGGTACCTATTTACTGCTAGGTAACCGGGGCACAGGATGAAATAAACTCTGCCCATTGTTTCTCGCCGGTGCCCGGGATCGAACCCGGGACCACAGGATCGCGTGTACAGCGTGCTGTCCGCTCGGCCACCGGCTCCCGAGTGCGAGTGAGAAATATATGCAGTAAAAAATAATATAATAAATTGGTTAGAAAGGTGGGTTCCAAGAGCTAATAGCTTGATTTTGCAGATACAAATAGTAAATACAAATAGTAAACACCCCAATCGCTGACTTGTTTCCGAAAGTCTCAGTAGTATTCCAGGCGTTCTATTAATGTTCACAATATTTTGCAAGAACACACCAACCTTATTGTAACCACGAACCAAATGGCTCCCCCAAACAATTCTCACGTGCACCGCGTCCTTGTCCTTAATATGACTGTAAAATTAGACTTGAGATAGCTAGAGAGCCAAGCACGACGGAAGTGTGTCGACACCGGTGACAGTTGGCAAGGGCCGCCGGGAAAAGGACCAGGTAGTGGGTCATGGTGTCACTAATGTATAGGAAGAACCACATATCAGTGGGTCCTGATATAAGGTCAGTCTAGCAGCAGATGTTACTTCTGCTGATAGACTTGGGCTCTGTTGTATGCAGCTCTGAATCTTCACCTCCTCCTAAAGTAGGTCTGACTAAATGTAAACTGTCAACAAATATATTCACAAACACAATGCCACTATTGGAATGGAAAATATATCCAAACATTTTGAGATACATCTACCTCGAATGTTCAACAAAATTAAATGTATTTTATCGTAGATGATGAATTACGCAAAAAGCTAACCCAAGTATTACAAATATGCAAACTGTGGATAGTGCACACTGTCAATAACCACCTCACACTGCCGGCAAGTGTCTTGCATGCTTACCTTACCATCACTAATATTAACTATAGGAAGATTATCCCAGCTCCCTCGGGGAGACATCTCCCGTCACGCAGGGTGCAGTCGCACCTCCGCAGATTGATTGATTGATGAAGATTAAGCCACCCAAAAGGTGGCACGGGCATAAATAGCCTGTAAGTGGTGGCCCTTTTGAGCCATTACCAGTATTAATAGATGATACTGGAGATCTGTAGAGGTGCGACTGCACCCTGCGTGACGGGAGATGTCTCCCGTGTCCACATTTCTCCAGTATCATCTATTGATACTGGTAATGGCTCAAAAGGGCCACCACTTACGGGCTATTCATGCCCGTGCCACCTTTTGGGTGGCTTAATCTTCATCAATCAATCAATCATCCCAGCCCCCACAACCCCCCGGCCTCCCTCGTGTCACCGGCTCCGCCAGGAAAGGAGAGACGATCAACTCTCGAATGGAAGGAGGTTAGTATACAACTATCCAGGGGAGGACGAGGACGGTCTCCCACTATCCGGGGGAGGACGAGGACGGTGTACCCCTATCCAGGGGAGGACGAGGACGGTGTACCCCTATCCAGGGGAGGACGAGGACGGTGCTGTAATACTTCCCAATGGGCAGTGTCGGGTCGTGTCCAGCAGGTGACACAGTTTGCATCATCACCCATACTTTTATTCCCGGCTGGTATGTTGGGCAGGCGGCCCTGGGACGAGGCGGTGTGCCAACCCTTGCCACGAGACACGAGAAACAAGGCCAACCTGCACGTGGGTGATGGGTCGAGAGGAACGCAGGATTCCCTGCAAGGCGCGTACCTGTCCTTGAGAAAGTCACTGTAGTGTCTTTAATTTGACCTGCAGGAATTAATAGACAACATGATTGGGAATAGAGGGGCCTGAACAGTTGTTATTGATTCAGCTACTCTGAACAAGTTCCAAGTAGCAATGGGCTATGGTGAGCCTGAACAGAAGTCATTTCCATTTAACCGTTAAAAAATCTTTGATACTGCACCTTACCTTGAGGTTACCTTGATGTGCTTCCGGGGCTTAGCGTCCCCGCGGCCCGGTCTTCGACCAGGCCTCCTGGTTGCTGGACTGATCACGAGGTTGAGTAACTTTACACGAGGTTAGGACACAAGGTAAGAGAGGGTAGGGTAGCTGGGTACAAGCCCATATGGACAAGTGCCAGACACGTATACAAGACCCAGAACTCCCCCCCCCCCCCCCCCTCTTGCCACAGTTGTGCGCGTCGTGGCCCAGGCTGTATTAAAACGGTCGCCGTGGATCAATACGTAGGTGCCAAGAGCGCCCCGCCGTCTTCCCTGTCCGCTGCACACACCGTGCTTGCCAAGAAAGTGACAACTACCATTGGGTGCTATATGCAGACTGACCAATATTGTAAACAATGAAAACAAAAGTTTGGTTCTTAAATTTGCCTCCAAATAGAGTGGAATGCAATGCTTGGAGCATTCACAGAAACAAGGATATGGGCAGTGAAGTTTGGATACCAAAATAGAATTTATATGCATGCGATAAAGATGTCAAACTAAGAAGTTGGTTTGTATATTATCACGACTTTATCAGCGTCCAAGACGGACCGAAATTTCACTTCTTTCTGTTGTGTGTGGATTGCGGGTTTGAGTCACGTTATTGCGACTCTTCCCTGCGTTAGTATATATGAGGGCGAAGATGCATGCATATAACTCTCCGAACTCCACAGATGTGGAGTTGGTGGCGAGACTTAGAATCACAGTAAAGAACAACAACAATTTCATTATACAAACCTCCAGACGCATTGGTTGAGTTCACAGAACAGATTCTAAAAATAGAATTCTAGAAACTCTAAAAATATAGGTGTTGGATATTATGGTCCTTTAAGACAAGCTACCCAGTTTAAGATGGAGGATAAAAGTCAATAACACTACAACAAGGAATCAAACCAGAAATAACGAGACATGTCAGTTTGTGGTAAATTTTAGCTGTCAACAGACAGCTAGACACTCAAGAACTTTATTTACAGGGGGGACAGGGACTACCCCGCCCCCCCTGTAGGATGAGAAGGGGGAAAGAGACTCGGGTACAGCCGGATACGCGACCTAGTATAAATACAAAGTAGCAACAAATTACCGTATGTATGGGGTGTGAAATGTGATCGTTAACGTCGCCAGTTTGAGCTTTTAATCCTGCCAAGCGTGGTAGCAGCAACAGTGGTCGCGCCTGCCCACAGTCACCCGTGTCAACACGAAGTAAATTGACCTCACTAAGTAGTTTTGGGCAGCTCTGCATATATTAGTGCGCGTCAATATAACCCTACGCTAAGTAGACGAGTCAAACTAATCTGTAACCGAGAAGACGCAAGAGAACCCGTAGCCTGAATGGTCTCGAGTGGGATGCCAATAAGTGTGGAGAACCTTGCCTTGTGAAGGTGTTCAGAATACCAACAAGTCCTCAGATAGGGAACACACATCGTTTGTAATTATTATCTTTGTAACCATCTACACCTACAGATTAGCTAATAATTAGCACATTTAATATACAAAATCAGACAATACAAATCATTACATGCTGTAGAAACTAAACACATTTTCCTCAACAAAATGTCCCGCTGATAAGTTCAGCAAGAGCCTTCCAAGGACGCTGCATTATTTCTAACGGAACCATTG